CGGCAGCGCGAGCTCTCTGCTTTCACACAGGAGCCCTTCGCCAGTGGGCCAAGACCAGGTGCTGGCGCACGGGCCACTTTCGCCCTTGAGCCAAACACAATGTTTGTGCACGGTTTCCTTCCGCCCGTGAGCACAACTTGTTTCGGTTCACCTTGATGCAGTTCGTCGTGTTTCGGCTCGCCGCGTTTCGGCCTGTCCATTCACCGTGTGTTTCGCGTTGGTTCGGGTTCGCCCCCTCTTGGTCCGGCCCGCTTCGGAACTGAAGCGGATGTTGAGCGCGAGCTGGTCGAGTGCCCCGCGCGTTTCGATTGCAACCAGCCCGACCTATGCGTTCAAGCAGCTCGAATTTTCGATCAAAATCAGGTCGGTCAGAGTTCCGACGCCAAGAACAACCTGATCCACAACGCACGCGAGCACAGAACAGTTCAACGCGGCATGGCAAAGTTCAATTCACCACAGCGCAGCACCCCCCCCTGGCACGGCACATCACCATCGATACCTTCAGACCTGCAGTTGCCCGTCGCCCAAATGGTGGCGTCTTGAAACTATTTTTCCGCGCGTCTCATTTCTATAATTCTATAAACATATACATGTATATATATATACATATTTATATATATATATATGTGTATATATCCGTAAGGGCTTCGCCCCCTGCCGCCGGCCCCCTCTCTCGGAGAATGGGCCATGGAAGAGCTAAGTCATGAGGCTTTGGCGCTGTCGTGCAGCAGTATCGGAACTTCATGCGAGGCCGATTCGCAATCGGCAAAACCAACTGATCACAAGAGGGGTTACCACACAGGGCGATTGGTAAGACGTGTATGGTTTACGAGCTTGGTTACCACACCTCGGGATTAAAGGGCCGAGAGAGTACTCGCAGTTTGGGTTACCACGCCTTGCGATGGATGTGCGTGAGGGGTGGCACCGAATTTCAGAAATGTGGCAAATCCCTGTGTTTTTGGACCCTGACCCCGCGGATCTGCGTGAGGGGTGGCACCGAATTTCAGAAATGTGGCAAATCCCCTGTGTTTTTGGACCCTGACCCCGCGGATCTGCGTGAGGGGTGGCACCGAATTTCAGAAATGTGGCAAATCCCATGTGTTTTTGGACCCTGACCCCGCGGATCTGCGTGAGGGGTGGCACCGAATTTCAGAAATGTGGCAAATCCCTTGTGTTTTTGGACCCTGACCCCGCGGATCTGCGTGAGGGGTGGCACCGAATTTCAGAAATGTGGCAAATCCCTTGTGTTTTTGGACCCTGACCCCGCGGATCTGCGTGAGGGGTGGCACCGAATTTCAGAAATGTGGCAAATCCATGTGTTTTTGGACCCTGACCCCGCGGATCTGCGTGAGGGGTGGCACCGAATTTCAGAAATGTGGCAAATCCCATGTGTTTTTGGACCCTGACCCCGCGGATCTGCGTGAGGGGTGGCACCGAATTTCAGAAATGTGGCAAATCCCTGTGTTTTTGGACCCTGACCCCGCGGATCTGCGTGAGGGGTGGCACCGAATTTCAGAAATGTGGCAAATCCCTGTGTTTTTGGACCCTGACCCCGCGGATCTGCGTGAGGGGTGTCGATTTCGAGCCCCCCCAGCAATTCAGACAACGCGCCCAGGAGGTGCTAAAAATCCCGTTTGGGCCTCCCCCCCCCTCGCGCGGTCAATCAACTAGTTACAGTAACCAGCAAGAAGCAGAACTGTAACACTGGAAACTACAAGCTACAGCTGGTATTGGAAACTGCGAACCCGTGCCTCGCAGCCTGGTGGCCCCACAAGGGGGCCGGCGGATATATATATATATATATATATATATATATATATAATATTATCTGATATATGATATATATATAATTATATGTATAACATATATATATATATATATATATATATGTATGTCGGCGGTGCCCGGTGCGGAGCGACCCCCCCCCCCGGTAATCTCTCCTGGGGGGGTTCGAGCTGGCGCCATTCCCGGTGCGAGCCTGCACGAACCCCCCCGGTAAACACGACCTCCTCTGGTAGGCTGCACGAAACCCCCCGGTAAGGACGCAACCCCTCCGTAAGCGGCGCGCTCCCAGCACGCGCGAAACCCAGCCCCGACGCGCGAATCTTACCAGGACGGGCCGGAACACGGCGGCGGCATTGCATCCCAGGGCCGTGCCGGAACACGGCGGCACTGTTCTTCTCTACGCGGCCGTGCCGTCGACCCCCCACAGCGGCTCTCGGGAGTTGCGCCGCAGCCTCTCGTATTGTGGCCACGAGCCACAATACGAGAGGCTGCGGCGGAACAAAGGCGAGCAGACGCGAATAGAGAACACAAGGCGAGCACACGCCACACTTCGACAGGGAGCCACCCTTCCCAACCGCCCCCCTGCCCCCCCCCCAACCCACCCCCCACTCCCACCCCCCCACTCCCACAGGGGGGGGGGGAGCCCAGGTAGACGCAGTGCGGCCTGCACGAACCCCCCCGGTAAAGCGGCAAGGGGGGGGTGTTCTAAGCCGCTGGCGGCACCCGGTGCGGGCTGCACGAAACCCCCCGGTAGTGCACGAAACCCCCCGGTAGTGCTGGGGGGGGGTTCGTGCCACGGCGCACCGCCGACATGTATGTATATATATATATATATATATATATATATATGTATATATACATATAACGGCGCACCGGGTCCGGGGGCCCGGGGCCGGGACCCCGACCACAAATGTGGGCCCGGGGGGCCCGGAGGCTCGTCGGACCGCCGGACGCCGTCCAAGATCGTTCGCAGGCGGCTTCGAACGCGCTCCGATGGCTCCAGATGCCTTCCAAGACGCCTGTCATGACACCAAGAAAGTCCCAGAAGCCTCCAAGACGCTCCGAGAGGCAGCCCAAGAGAGGCCCAAGAAGCAAAAATCGTGCCATTCCTATGGGAAAACGTATATTTTTCGCATGTTCGCCTCTTGGGCTTTCACCGCGTCCAAGACGGCCCAAGAGGCGCCCAAGACGGTCTACGAGGCCTCCGGGAGCGCTCCAAGGCTGCGCACGAGTGGCCCAGGACGGCCCCAAGACGGCCGAAGAGAGCCCCAAGACGAGTTCGAGAGGGGTCCCAGACGGAGAAGAGCCAACCTCGAATTCCGAGCTTCCGGCCCAAGAGGCTCCAGGAGGCGCCAAAATGCCGCCAAGAGGCGCCAAAAGGCTTCCAAAATCAGCCCAAGACGTTCCGAGAGGCACCCCAAGAGAGGTCCAAGAAACAAAAATCGTGCCATTCCTATGGGAAAACGTATATTTTTCGCATGTTCGCATCTTGGGCTTTCACCGCGTCCAAGACGGCCCAAGAGGCCTCCAAGACGGCCTAGGAGGCCTCCGGGAGCGCTCCAAGGCTGCGCACGAGTGGCTCAGGACGGCCCCAAGACGGCCCAAGAGAACCCCAAGACGACTTCGAGAGGGGTCCCAGAAGGAGAAAGCCACTCTCGAATTCCGAGCTTCCGGCCCAACATATCCCAGGAGGCGCCAAAACGCCGCCCAGAGGCGCCAAAAGGCTTCCAAAATCAGCCCAAGACGTTCCGAGAGGCACCCCAAGAGAGGTCCAAGAAACAAAAATCGTGCCATTCCGATGGGAAAACGTATATTTTTCGCATGTTCGCATCTTGGGCTTTCACCGCGTCCAAGACGGCCCAAGAGGCCTCCAAGACCGCCCCAAGACGGCCCAAGAAGCTTCCAAGAGGGCCCCAGGACAGCCCAAGAGGGCCCCAAGACGGCCCAAGAGGCGCCCAAGATGGCCCAAGAGGGCCCCAAGACGGGCCCAAGAGGGGGCCCAGAGGGGGACCACGAACCGCAAGCTCGAGCCTTCCGCCCCAAGAGGCCGCCAGGAGGCCCCAAGGAGGCCCCTCAAGAGGCCCCAGGAGACCCCCAAGAGGCCCAAAGGAGGCCCCGAGAAGCCCCAAATCGGCCCCCAAAATGCTTTGAACCTGCTTCCAGGAGGCCCCCGACAGGTTCAGAGGCTCCCGAGAAGCTACGTCAAACTCCCAGCGAGCGGCCGGACGAGGCCCCCCACAAAATCACAAGAGGGTTCCAGTATTTGTATCCTTCAGCGCTCTCTGGCCTTCTTCCCCCTGCCCCCTTCCCTGCGACTTTCGTTGACTCAAGCTCGCCTCCTAGCTAGAACCTAAGCGCGCGCGAAGCGCGCGCGTGGTTCTAGTATATATTATATATATATATAATATATTATATATATTAATTATATATATATATATATACATATTCCCTAGCCAGGCTCGTGGATCGACCGCGTTCTCTTCTCCGCGCTCTGCCGCTAGACTCCTCCTCGCACGCACCTGCTGCTGCAGCCTGGCCCGATCCCCCCCCCACCCCCCCACGGCCGCCGCGCGAGCCGTGGCAGGCGCATGGCGCAGCCCGAGGAGGCCGCCGCGCCCGCGGCGCCGCCCGGCGACGCGCTGCACGGCCAGGAGGTGCTCGCCAGCTGGCCCGCCCGCTTCCGGAGGCAGGACGGCGAGCTGCTGCTGACCGCGGGCCGCCTCGTGCACCGGGCGCACGGCAGCGCCGCGGAGCCCCACGTCATCGCGGCAGGGCCCAGGGCTGGGCACGGGCGGCCCCCAGGCCAGGTTGCCGTGGCCTCGCAGCAGGGAGAGGGGAGCAGTCACGGTACGCCACCGCCGTCTCGAGGGCAAGGGGCGGCATGGTCATGAATCGGCGCTGGCAAGGAATCCACACGAAGTTCCGACGGTTGCTGTTCATGCATTCCTTTGTTCCTCGAGCGCCCCGGCGGACCGCAGCAGGCCCCCAGGGGTGGTCTGGGCCGGTCTCAACACCCTGGCGCCCCCCTCCCCCCCTCCCTAGGGAGCTCCGCGCTCCCGCAGGGTTGAGGCGATGAGACCGCAGCAGACCACGCTGCGGGCTTGTTGAGGCCAGCCGGGGCTACCTCTGGCGGCTTTCTGTGCGCAGCCTTTGGTTTTGCCGCGTCATCGATTTGCGTGAGGCCGCCTCTTACTTGTTCAGCAAGCGGCAGCCAG